ACCAAAGTATAGTGTTAGGTGAGGTCATGATAGTAGGTCCCTCACTGTGGGAATTGTGTCCTTATAAGAAGAGATGGCAGAAAGCTTTCTGGCTTTCCTTGTACTACATGAGGACATGACTAGAAGGTGGCCTTCTACAGCTAAGAAGAGAGGCCTTACTAGCACCCAACCATTCTGGCACCTGATCTTGGACTTTCAGTGTTCAGAACTGTGGGAAAACAAATTTCTGCTGTTTAAGTCACTAAATCTATAATATTTTGTTACAGCTGCCTGAACTGACTGATATAGGTGTGCAGCAAAACCAGCAAAATCACAAGGTACAGTGATGTCAGGATGTTTCAGGAACCATAGCAGACACTAGGAACAGTCTCTGGAGCAGGCCTTGTAGGCTGGGCAGATGTGGAAGCAAAATCAGGGGCATCTTGGCTCTGTAACCTCAAATAGAAGCACAGGCAATATGTTGCCCAATAGCCATCAGAGCAAGCTTATGGGCCCAGGTTAACAAAAAGTAATTTGGTACAGTGAGGAAACAGCTAAGGATCCTGAGAATGGAAAACCCAGGGAGGCAGTGGGGAAAAACAATAGAGTATCACATCTTGGAGGAAATGTGAAGAAAGGTTCCAAGGTTAAGGGAGTGACGAACTGTGTCAAATGCCACAATTAGAATAAAGGATGGAGGATGAACAAATGGAATTGTCAATGTAGAGTTCACTGGAACATTAACAAGAACCATGTCAATGGAGTTATGGGGTCAAAAGCCTGATTGGTATGCACATGAAAAAGAAAATCAAGTAAAGAATCGATGGCAGTAAGTACAAAAATTTTTTTCCTCCAGCTTTATTGAGTAAAATTCTTCTGAGTTTTGTTATAAGTGAGCAGAAAAAAATGAGATCTTAGCAGAAGGAGAATCAAAACTCAAAGATTAATGGGGGCTCTGCTTCTGAGTGACTATATGCATCAACCCTCTCCCTTAAGGGCTGAAAATGATGTCAGTAGTAATTATATAGTATCGTCCTGCCTGAGGACAAAGGGATGGACCATTTGCCTCCTATTGAGTTTCACCTTTGGAGGTCTTTTACTATCCTCATTCCTACAGGAATGAGGTTGTATAATCCAGCTAGTAATCTATAGAAAATCCAATATTTCTTTTTTTTTTTTTTGAGACAGAGTCTTACTCTGACTCTTGGGCTTAAGAGATTCTCTTGCCTCAGCCTCCTGAGTAGCTGGGACTATAGGCACCTGCCACCATGCCCAGCTAATTTTTCTATTTTTAGAAGAAATTAGGTCTCATTTTTGCTCAGACTGGTCTGGAACTCCTGAGCTCAAGTGTTCCTCCTGCCTTGGCCTCTCAGAGTGCTAGGATTACAGGCGTGAGCCTCCATACCCAGCCTAGAATCTACTCTTTCAGAATCCTAACCACAAAAAGCCAAACCATTTGGAGGTACAATTTTGCATGTTTGTAAGTCTATCACATTAAAGATAGGCAAAGATGTTTAGATTTATGTATCTAAAGGCAAAGGCTAAAATGGACATTATAGAGCTACCTACCGAGCTAAGGGAAGCAAGTGCTCAACCACGTGGATAGGGCTCACATCTTCTCAAAAGTGTCAAATGGATTATACCAATTAAAATAAGGAAAAAATACAAAGAACTAGCCTGATGAAGAAATGAGAAAAAATGGGGACATGAAAGATGGAAGGTATTATTGCTGTAAGAATTCCTTCCATTGTCTCATGTAAGAAAACTGATTATCAAATGTTATAAAGTATTGATAGCAGAATAAATATATGAAAATTAACCTTTGCATTTTTAGAAATCATACTCGATGGGGTTGGAAATTTTGGAAAAATAGAAACAGCCTAACCTGGACTAGATGCATTCTTATAAGACAAGATCTTGGAATCTAAAATTAAATGTAGACTTTTCCTTCATCTGGACACTAATTCAGACTCATAATATGAAGCTAATCATTGTCAAAGTATTAATTTCAAACATTCAATTATAAGAAAATCTAAACTTTCAGTGTTCTTTTCATAATAGGAACATTATTTATTCATGTATCCAACAACCCACACTGCAGAATCTTAATACATAGATAGCATCTAGAATAAAGTTGAAAACCAAGATGTTATTCAATAAAAGTCCTAGTCTAGGAAGAATATAGTATATTGTAACAAATGCTTTATAAATGCCTACATACAGAAATAGAGAAATATGGAGGAAGAAATATAAACATTGCCTTGCAATTAACGTTCTATATAAACTTAAAAAATAAATAGAAGCCTATCGCTAAGAAAAGCCTTTTAGGGAGAATGTGTATAGCAATGGAAGAAAGCCCACCTACCAATAGGACACAATCATTTCAGCTTTGTCCTCCATAGAGAGTCAATAGCCGTACCAGCCTCCTCTGGTGTGAGATTAGATGTTATTCTTATAAAGTACTTAGAAAGTATAGATTGGTATTTAAATTAAGTTTAATCATATTGTGAAATTATGTGTTTGGGCTTGAGATGTTGGGGAATTAGATGACTCTCCTGTACTTAATACTAGGAGAGGTCTCTTAAGGTTCCCACAGCTGATGCATGATGACTGAACTGATGAGAAATGATTCAGTAAGAGCTGGTCAGGTGTGAGGAGGTTGTGAAAGCAGAGAACCAGGCAAGGTGACTGCCTCAGATGTTTGGGGTCCAGAGGACATCTCATATTAATAGCAGTTATACTACTACACATTATCACATTTTATGACATTTCTTAGTGGTCTAGATATTTTGTCCCTTTTGATCCTCACAACAATTTCATGGAGCAAGAGCTGTTATCTGCATTTGGTGATGGAGAAATTGCTCAAGGCCAGAGAACTAGTTGGAAGCAGAACTAAAATTTGAAGACTAAACTACATTTCAGATGCCTGAGAACTATGAGTATCTGCTTCTTAGTGAAGTTTTCAAAACAAAAGCAAAACAGAAACTTGGAGTGTTTCTTAACACCAGGAGAAGAGCAAGACAAATCCCCAACAAAGTTGCCACAGAGTAGTAAAACCCAGGAATATAATCAACATTTTTCACTCTCTGGGTTATTTCTTTCTTTCATGTCCCTTTCCATGTTGAAGATGCAGTTGACCTAATTTCTCTCCTATCTCCCTGAAAGTGTTCTCTTATACTGGTCTATGGGAGGAGGTGGAAGGATTTCGGAAGGACATTTCTTTTTTTTTTTTTTTAATTAAATCATAAACACATAGATCATGTATACATTAATGCATTTATGGGGTACAATGTGCTTATTTCATATAGAATTAGGAATGCTTACATCACACTGGTTAATATACACCTCATCTCATTTACTTAATTATTGTGTTAAGACATTTATACTCTATACTTAATAGATCTGACATGTACCCCTGCATTATGCACTACAGGTGTGATCCCACCATTAACCCTCCCTCAGTCTGACTTCTCCCCTCCCCTCCTATCCTCCCCTCCTTCCTCCTTCATCCTGGACCATAGTTGCTATCTATTCTTCATGCAAAAGTGTGAGTGAATGTAAATTGGTTTCATAATAGTACTGAGTACATTGGATATTTTTTCTTCCATTATTGAAATATTTTACTAAGTAGTGTATGTTCCAGCTCCATCCATGTAAACATAAAGGAGGTAAAGGCTCCATCTTTTTTAATGCTGCATAATATTCCATGGTATACATATACCACAATTTATTAATTTATTCATGGGTCGATTGGGCACTTGGGCTTCTTCCATTTCTTAAAGGCCATTTTTCCTTATATTTTTCTACTCCACAAAGCAGCATTACAACATAAATAATTTTGCATTTATTATAACTTCACATCATTCTGAGTGAATTTACAGAAATTGCTCATGGGATTAATCACTATAGACTTTCTTTTTCTTTCTTTTTAAAGGTCAAAACAGCCCCTTCCATTATAGAGAGCTATTAGGAAATCATTTGCTCCATGGCCAATCCATGAGCAATATAGATTAACCTCCTTGGGAAGACTTGGCTTTGAAGAACTTGGGGCCCTCAGTGAGATGGATGTGGTATATCCCCATTCAGAACCTTCTTGTTACTCGGGTGACCCCCAGAGAGGGTCTAAATAACATGGTTGCTTGTTGGGTGCAAGACTTGCACCCTGGTTTCTATAAGCCACCTTCTTCTCCTCCTCCTCTTGTCTGTGATCATCCTTACTCAATTCATTGATTTCTAGTAACCAGGTCCAGCTTAAGGGTGGGTATAAATTTATTACCTGATCTAAAAACATGCAAGGTGTATCAGTCACTCCTTCCCCAGTCACCAAGGGCCCCACTAAGCTTGAGAGTATCACAGATTCAGAACATTGTTCAATTATTCCGGGATATACCTTGGTATCTGGAATTATGTATAGTACAGAAGTGAGCAGCTTCCCTAGGCTTGGCAATGCCAGACTTCTCTCAAGCTCAAAACAGAGAAACACCGGAAGAGACCAAAAGGAAACTACCACTCTCTAAGCTGCAAATAACTGCAAATATTGGTATGCACAGTGTTGTCATGTGTTTCCCCACCACCCACCTCCCTTTTCTTCTTATTGGTATATAAGATGGTCAATATTAAATTTTGGATAAGGTGGCCAGTATTAAGGTTAGCATAGTTTAGTACAACTCTGTCTTAGGCTTATAAATCAAATGGGAAAGAAAAATTCAGTGGAAAAAAAGAGAGAGATACCTCTACAAATAAATATGGATTAAAATACTCTCAATGTGGTTAAGTCCCCTCACTAAGGAGATATCCCAGTATACATGAGTCTGAGATAGTTCAACTCAATAAAATAGAACAATGAAATGATTATCAAGGTGATATTTTGATAAGCTTTACAAAGCTCTCCATCTCTAAAAACTATAGTAAGAGATGAATTGTTCTAAAACCTCAAATTAACTCTCTACCACTCCTCTTCCCCCACCCCAGGGCCCACGGTGACCCACTGGGGTCATGTGCCACTGAGTCCTTCTGCTGTTCTAGGAAACATCAACCCTCTTTTCTTGGAAGCGCTTCAGGATCCCCTGACGGATCTGCCTAGACTTGATACAGTACACAATGGGGTTCATGAAGGGTGGGACCAGGAAGTGCAGGTTGGCCATGAGCACTGCCAGAGCAGGGTAGCTGTGCTTCTCTACTCGGTGCAACACAGACAGCCCCAGTTTGGGCAAATAAAAGATGAGAACAATGCAGAGGTGGGAGACACAGGTGTTGAGTGCCTTGAGCCGTTCCCCAGGTGATGCAATACCCAGCACAGTCCGCAAGATCAGGGCATAGGAAAGCATGATGAGGGAGGAGTCAAGGCACAGTGAGAGGAGGATGGAGATGAGGCCAACCAAGCTGTTGATCTGTGTATCTGAGCAGGCCAACCCCACAAGGTCACAGTGCAGGCAGTAGCAGTGAGAGAGCACACTGATCTGGGGAAAGAGCAGACGCCACAGGAGGATGGGCGCCGGGAGGTTAAGCAGGACAGCCCTTACTAGAATGGCAGTTCCCACTTTGGTCATGGCTGAGTGGGTAAGGATTGTGGCATAGTGCAGAGGGTCCCGAATGGCAATAAAGCGGTCAAAGGCCATGGCCAGCAATACACCCGATTCCACATAGGTGAAAGCATGGATGAAGAACATCTGTGCTGCACAGAGATCAAAGGGCACTTCACGAGCTCCAAGCCAGAAAAGCCGCACCATAGTGGGGAAGGTGGAGGCACAGAGCCCCAGATCAGAGGCTGCCAACATGGACAGGAAGATGTACATGGGCTCGTGTAAGGCTGGATCTGTGCGGATCAAGAAGAGGATGATACTGTTACCCAGGGTGGAAACCACACAGATGAGGTTGATGGGGATGGAAACCCAATGATGAGAGGCTTCCAAGCCTGGGAATCCAGTGAGCAGGAAGGTAGAGTGACCAGAGGTGCTGGTGTTGCAAGAGGACATAGTGATTCCAGGAGGCAGTTGTCCACCCTAGGAGTAAGAGACATGTATTCATTTGATCATTTCTTGCAAAGTCCCTACTAAGTGTCAGCCAGGAAGAAAGAGCTGCCCCATAATACTTTCTTAGGCCATAAAACAAACCCCATTCCTCTTAGGAGCTCCATCCCCCTCCATTTCCTGGCTAGTTTGACTTTCTCTGGTACTGAATAAATCTCCTGAGTTGATCTCTGCTTATTGTTTGCAGCTATTTCTTTAGCCACTCAGCAACCACCTTCCCTTTGGCCTAAACAACCTCTTTTTATCACTTAAGTTAAACTTAGAAAAGTGTCTTATCAGATTAAATACCAAAGAAAGGAGAATGATTTTCTGTAGAAATTTAAAATGATATTAGGAATAAGAAATTTGAACTCCATTTCTGTGTATTCTTAGAGGTAAGTCTTCCAGTCTAACAGATCTGTTAACAAATACTACAGAGAGCACATTCAAACAGATGATGTGTTTTCAAAACCGTCCTTTTAGGAGGCTGGTTGCTAATTCCTCAAGTGCTGTCATGAAAGATTTTCTATACTCCTTTTCTAGAAATGCCTTTGGGGCCCAAAATAAGTTGTACTCAATGGTGACAAAGCTCTCTCTTGTGAAGATGAATTGGCTTAAAGGAAGTATTCTAGAATTCAAGTCTAAGTTTGATAAACAAGATGACAGTTTACCAGATGCATTCCATATTAATCTTCCAACCTCCACCTCACTGGCAGCTTAAACTTGCCTATTCTGACCCTACCTTCAAAACAGTCCTATGGTTGTGGACTCACTTAGAAGACACTTTCCTCTTAAATATCTCTTCTTCAGCCACCTTACTATAAAAGCTGATAAGATAGGGCTAAGTACTTGACGTTGTCCCGGCTGGGGGCAGGGCAGAAGGCAGAGGCAGACTGACAGGCATCACCTGAAGAGTCAGACAGAAGCATGAGCTTCCAGAACCCCAGGGTTAAGACATGGTATATCAAGGAACTGAGTGTAGTGTGTGAGCTCATCTGATTTCACAACCTCACTTAGCACGTTTAGCTACAGCTTCTCTGCCTTAAGTTCTCTCCTCAGAACAAGACTCCATCTCCATTTGTCTACCAAGCACCTCACACAGATCTGCATTATACATTCACTATACTGCCAAATCACAAACTAATTCCTCTGCTCTTCCCCAAAATCTTACCATCCAGTATTCGTTGGTTAGTGCCTCCCTTCCTTTTCTGTTATCCATGAAATACCTAGGGGGGGAAAAAAGCACATTGTATATCTTTTCACTTTTTAACATATTCTTCAAATCTTGTCTTTAGACTCTCCCCACTCTTCATATCCCAGTAAAACTAATCTAGCTGAGTCATCCTTTCCCTGAATATTATAACAGCCTTACTGTCCCACTTTCTTCTGTCTTTCTGTATTCTAATTCATATTTCCAAATTTATACTAGAATTGTAACACAATATTTATGAAAAGACAAGTATGAACATTAAATTAGTATGTGTATAGAGAGAAAAATGGTGACCAAATTTCTATTAGGAAGATGTCTTTTACTATATCACAACTGTGTTTCATGATCACCAGTGGTTTCTTGCAGGATTAGGTATAAGCAAAAGCTTCATACGAAATTCAGGAGAGAAAAGACCTTGTCGATCCTATGCCCCTAGTCTTTTCAGTCACCTTGCTCTAAGTATAAACTCTTAGGACATTTTTCTACTCACAAAATTTACAATATTTGATCATTTAAAAAAAATATTTTTGTCGAACTATACACATAGAAAAGCCTACATGTCACAAATGTAAATCTTGATGAAGTTTCACAAAGTGAAAACCACACCCCTGTAACAAACACCCAGATCAAAAAACAGAATATTGACAGCACCCTCAGACGCCTCTGTGTCTCTTTCAGCCACTTCCTCTTAGTGACAACCACATCCTGATGTCTAACACCACAGATAAATTTTGCCTGTTTTTGAACTTTACATAACATTCTGTCTATTATTGATAGACATTTGGATAATTTCAATGGTGGAGCTATTATAAATAGTGCTGCCATAAACGCTCTAATATATTTCTTTTGTGAATACATGTATGAATTTCTGTTGGGCGTAAACCTAGAAGTGGAATCATATTATAACAGGCTATGCATTTAGTCAGATTTGGTAGATTGTTTCAAACAGCTTTCAAAAGTGATTGTATCAACTTACACCACACCAACACTATAGAAGAATTCAATTGTTCCACGAATTCATCAATGCTTTATGTTGTTGGCCCTTTTAGTTACGGCTATTCTGGACATATGTAGCAGTATTGCCTTGTGGTCTTTAATGCATATTTCTTTGATTTCTAAGACAGTGAGAACCTTATAGGTTTTCTGGCTATTCAGTCTTTTACTGAATTTTCTGTTGGGGTGCCTGCATTTTTCATAATGTTTTGCATTAGTTCTTTGGATTATCTGAATAGCCACTGTGCATTTTTAAGTGACTGGGTCATTTTCTAACTGCAATTTTTATGAAACTTATGTAACCTTGACAGGCTTCGATTTCCTAAGTCTGTTTTCAATATCTTCATGCATGAGCCAGCTAAATCTTATAGTGAGATGTCTCACACAATACCTAAAACACTGTGTATTCTTCATAATGTTAGTTTACTGAACTTGTGTATTCAGTGAATATTTAAGACTCTTTAAAGGCATTCTCTTTTATAGTGAAAACCAGAAAAAATAAGCCCTTGGATGATATCAGATTTCCATGTTTCCTTCTTTTATCTCTATTCTGTCAGAGAAAATTGGCTGAGGAAAGGTTCGTAAAGGGAGTCATTTTACCTAACTGCATCCTCTCAACAGTCTCTCCAGGATGAGTCCCCTATTGCTCTGTACATGCCTTCATCAACAACAAGTCACACCACGTCTATTATACACAGGCCTGAGCAACTGTGAAAGTCAGGGCCATACTGTACAAATGCAGGGGATACCATAGACATTCTAGTCTGTGTAATGGGCCCTCCTGGAATTGTGGCTCTCAGTCTGTGCTGTCACAGATAATGGCCCTGACCACGAGCCAAAAACTGAGTCGCTGACTCCCCACACTGGTAGGAAAATAGATACCAGACACAGATGATGGTGAGAGAGAGCTCTGAGTGTGAAGACACACCCACAGAGACAGTCAGGGGACTCTACCCAGTTCAAGGAGGAAACTCCTGTGCTTGAATCAGGAAATGTTTGGTCTTCCTTATTATTATAAACCTAATACCTGGCATAGTGCCTAAGCATATTGTCGTATTCATAGTAGTCTCCTTAAAAGCATTCTCCTTTATAGTGAAAACCAAGAAGAATAAGCCCTTGGACAATATCAAATTTCCAAAAATTTGTTGTACCAACCTTTTGTCTACAGCAGGCCAAAGTGAAAATTACATCTCCACAATCCCAGCTGAAGAACCAGAGAGCTGTGTTCTCAGGCACATGCCAACCCAGATGCCCCCTTTCTTTGTGGTTCCTAAAGATCCACACATCACTCTCTAGTGAGTTAAAGGTACCCTGGACTGTCCTTTTTTACTTTTTCCTTTTTGGCATGTTTCTTGATTTCTGATACTAATAATAAGAATTAGAAAATAACATGTCTGTCTTTTATATGTGTACTTTGTACATATTATTATACTTAATTCTCTAGCCCTGTGGTATATTTTTTTCATTTTCTGATGAAAATTGTTGTTCAGACAGGCCAAGTAACTTTCCCAAAGTCATGCAGCTAGGTGATAGAGTCAGAAATTAAATCCAAGTTGCCCTAAGAAAAATTCCAGTTGCTTAATTCCTTCACATAAGGAAAGAGCAGTTCTGACTCTTGAAACTTCAGATGTCATCATATCCTTTGCCCATGGGATAAGTGAAAGCTAAGGCTTTTGGTTCCCTCTTTCCAACCCCATTTCTTTCTAAAGCAGAGGTTAAACATAGGAATAAGATCACCCACTAAGAGGTGCAGCTTTCAGAACAATCCAACCAGGCTTCCCTGCTTCCCATCACTTCCTGTTTTCCAACCTTTCCACACAGGTTGTGGCCCATCTGGAAGTAGGGCCAAAGTTATCTTCTACATCCCAACTGTACCCAAGATCCAAGAATCCAGCAATGTCTGATACAAGGGAGGCTGCATCCTGTGCTTCCTGCTCTAACAATGTATGGGTGGCAAAGAAGTTCCAAAAAAGTTGTGTCCTTGTCATTTTTTTTTTAAAGGACAATAGTTCTGACCTCACAGGGTGCTCAAGAACATGGGAAAGGCTACCAACCCTTCAGCACATCAGAGGCATTGATTAAAATGTAACAATAACCAGACACAACCTGGGACTTCACAGCCAGTAGCTCTTGACGTCTCCCTTCTTCCAAAGCCTATATGCAACATTATTCCTTTCTATAGAAGATGAAATAGAGTCTCACAGGTGAACAAACCTGCCAAAGACCACATGAACAGTAAGCAGAAGGGACTAGCTTCGAGTGCATGTCACTCGACTTCAAAGCTCGTGCATCTGTCTCTTCCTCAGCATTTTCATCCCTAAAATTTTTTATAATAAAATATTTTTCTCTTGAGATAAGTAATGTGTTATGCTGCTTCTTTCTGTTGGGATGATTGTTATTGAAAAGATAATAATATTTTCAATATGAAGTGTTAAGCTTCTGGTTTTACCAGCTGAGTTCTGGACATGAAGATATATCCATCCATAGGATGAAATAGAATTACAGATTCATGGGATCTCCTCATATACCACCCCGCCTTCTTCCTGACTGCTCACAAGCATCAATCCTTCCACGTCCCCATGGAAAAGCCTTAAGACCAAAGGAGCCCAAGTGCTTTCTGACCATCCCTGTGTTAGATACTGTGTGAGTTTAATTATAGGCTCACAGCTTAGAAAGAAGAAAATTTTCCTCAAAGTAGCAATTTCCTGAAAAAGCAATGAAGAAAGGATATAACTATATGTGGAAAAAATAAAATAAACATGAC